TTTAAGGGAAAATATTTTTTTAGTTGTTTTAACCCATTTGCTTGAGAACGGTTTTTGTCTCTTTGAAGTTGGATCCTTATGGAAAACCTTCTCTGTTTTTTTAGCCTATTTGGAAGGCTCGGTCTTGGCTTCATAATAGCTGAAAATGACATTTCATTTAGCTCACTTGTTGCGTTCGAACTCTTTTTGAGATGGATTCTTGCAAGAGATATTTGCATTTGTTTTGCTCATATGTTGGGTTTCGTTTGGCTCCTTTTGATATCATGTCTCGGCTGAAATCTTTGTTGTTTTACCCCTTTGATGGGCCAGGTTTTGTTCATATGTTGGAAATTTTTTTTTATATGAGCTGGAAATTATACTTGGGGCTCGTATCTAGTTTATCTTGCTGCCCCTTGATAGAAAACATGCTGGAAATTATGTTTATGAGCTGGAAAAATGTATTTGGAGCTGAGCTCATTTATTCTCATTTATTGTTTCTCTTGCTGCCCCTTGATAAAATACATGCTGGAAACTATGTTTATGAGCTAAAAAAATGTGTTTGGGGTTCATATCTTGTTTATCTAACAAACCCCCAAAATCTGTTCGAATGCATGATTGAAATGAAATTATCAAAGTTTCTATTGTTGATATTTATGTTTACAATAAATGCTAAAAAGATGTGCTCTGTTTGCTCCCTTTGGTAGGCTCTGTTTACCATGTATTGGGTTTGATTTAGCTTAAATTATGATATGTTTTCAACTCTTATATTTGGCTCGGATTTAGCTTTCTTTTCATTTCCCCTGGATGTGGGTCTTTCCTTTTAGTTCTTTTATGATTAAAAATGTTTGGTTTGGGATTGTTTTTTTTCTTCCTCATTGTCCCTAACCGTAAATCTTAATGTGGTGAATTTTCACATTCGCTGTGAAGGTCGGTTCATTGATTTGGTGAGCCGTACTTGGAGCACTTTCTAGTGATATGTTTAGGAAACATTTTTAAAGTTTTACTCGTCACATTTTGAAGCTTTATTTGTGTTAAGTTCAAATTACATTTTGAGGCTTTTAAATCCCTGTTTGAGATTGATTCATTTTTTTTACCAAGTTTTAAATGTCTTTAGACCGATACATTCATGATTTCATTTTAAGCTTCACTGGTTTGATTTTGTTTTAAAAATGGATCGGTCACCTTTTTCGTTTGTTTTGTTTTTTTTTTAACAGTCAAGTTAAAAATGGGAATTTCATATTCAGAAATGATTCATAATCTTAAGGGAAATATGAGAGAAAGAGAAATGGAGAGAAAATTAAAAATAAGATTTAAATCTTCGAGGTGATAAAACCTAGAGGGGGATAGAATAGCGAACCATCTACCGTTCTTTTTTGCATATGAAAGATGAAATTGTAAATTGGAAGAATATTTTCGGGTTGGAAGAAAGTGAGAGTTTAGATAACAATTAGGGACATGGATTGGAAATATTAGTAGACTTGCACTTAGGTCCCTTAAGCTTTGAATAAACTTAAATCCATTTACCCTAAGTAGGATTGAAGCACACTTCACAACTCTTTTGCCAAAGCTATAAGTTTGCCCCTTAGATTTTAGGAGTTTGATGGTGAGCTAAGCTTAATCTAAAGATGTTTGAGGGTTAGTTGAAAGACACTTAGTTGAAGTTAGACATTTTAAGACACTTCATGCAAACTAAAGTGTAGGCTTCTTAGATCTTAGAGAGCACAACTTGAGAGAGTTTATCCTCCTAATTTTCAAATGATCCAAAGAAGCCAGACATCTGACCCCAGTAAATGAGATAACTAGGACACTAGGCACGAGGGTGCACTAGATTGTGATTCATGACTGATTTAATTAGATCAAATAATGAAATTCTTACCTTAACTTGACCAAAACTGAAACCCAATGCTCCGGGATTTGAGTTTGTCTTACACTCAAATCCTCCTGGCAATTGGGGACATTCCAATGTCACATATAAATTTTCTATTCTTGGTCATTTATATTTTGAAGCCAGATCAAAGAGATATTGTATTGTATTTTATTTTATTTGTTTGTCTTTTTCCTACGATTTACCTGTTTCTGTTAAGTCTTTTTCAGGTCATACTTTCCTCTTTTACACAGCGCATAATAGCTAAACTTAAAGAAACAATGAATCTCTCAGGTGTACAGGTTTAATTTATATCACAACATTTTATTTTTCCAGCATATTATATTGTTTTCATAGTCTGTTATAATATTTTCCCAGCATGCTATAATACTTTTTATAGCACGTTATACTCTTCTTTCAGCATGCTATACTATCTTTCTTCTTTACTGTACAGCACATTGTTACTTTTCTTTCACACAGCATGTTTTATTGCTTAGTTTTTGTACTATGTCTTAGTATAAAATAACCTAGTAGTTAGGTGCATTTTCAAAACTAAAACTAAACCAGGAGGCGCTACTACGAGAAGCTTGGAGCAAACATCGTGGGCAGCACGACAAAGAACAACTTCAAGGTGGATCAACAAAACATCAAAACACATCACATAAACATTTTCACATCACCTATCACTTCATTTAGTTTAAATAACAACCCATAGGATTACCCTTCAGGCTTTTGCACAACTCTGTTGTGCAATTATAAGTCCTAACACTTTAGGATTCCGAGGTTACCGTGTTGTACGGTGTAAATCCTCCTATCTTTTTAGGTTATTTGCACAGTTCGATATTGTGTAAACATAAGTCCTAAATCTTAAATAATTTGCAGGATTGAAATATCAAATAAGCATCACTTCAAAGACATAAAGCCGAACATTAGGATAGTTGGGACATCCTCAAGGTTTCTCCTGGATCTGTGATATCCCCTACTTTTCTTCCCTTTGGATTCCTTAAGTAATTGTTTCTATTTTGAGTCATTCTCATTTGATTTTCCCATGTCCAATCGTGAAAACCTAAACTTTAAAATCTTGAAAGCAAAACCACTTGATTTTAATCGAGAGTTTTTTTAAGTAACCTCCAGTCATTTAAGATATAATTAACTATAGGAGCTTGCCTCTATAGGGAACCTGGAACCCAAATAGAATAAACCTTATCTAATTTTTTATGTTAGATAGTGAAACTTGTTGGCCTTTTTATAAAATATTTCGCAGACCAAAACGGATGTCACAAATTCTTCAGTCTAGGTGATTGAATCTCTATTACAAGTGATATATTTATTTCTTCGGGATAAGTGTATTACCTGTAGTATTGTATTCAATCATTTAAACTATTTAAAATGCGAGACATGTTTGGTCTCACCTATTCTAAAATTAAAACGTTACTTTTAAAAATAAAAAAGAAAGATTATATTCATATTTAAATTATTTTCAAAATCACAAAATCACCACTTTTTTTTTTCAAATCACGAAGTTTAAAAACGGCCGACACATGACTAGGTTTCATAATGAGAGAGTTCAACATGAGCTTCTCAATGAGCTGAACACAAGCTTTAATGAGTTGAATACAAGCTATTCGCAAATAACGAGCTTTTTAATTACCCTACCTACAAGACAGTGCCTATGATGGGTGAACTATAATAGGTGCATGGAAGACCCGTGCCCGCAATGCCCCTACCCAAAAGGCTTATAGATTTCTTTTAGCCATAATTAGTCCTCACAAAAATCAAACCTTGAAATACTTTTGTGAATCTGCCTCTAGTACATTTCATTAATCTAGCTTCAAGGTTTTCCATGAACCTGCATTTATAATTGCATAGTCACCTTCTATCACCCTTAGGTTTGCGCCACCATGAGTCGTCCGCTCCCACTCTCTTTGACCATTCAATGCCTCTACTTTTTGTTTAAAATAGATGACATTGTAGCCTCTTTTTCTCAAATTTAGCCTCTACTGCACAAAAATCCCTTCAGATTCGCATATATTTGTGCAATTAGCAAGTGAAACAATCACAACTTCGTAATTGTTTACCACTCAAGCTGCTCAAAATTTCACTCTCATTCAATTGTTCCTTGCCTCACAGGTATGTCATTTGTTCTAAAAAATAATTTGTTTTGATTTATGAAAAATGAAATCTGAATATTTTTCTTCACTCCATAATTTATACTTTTTTTAAGAAAAATAAGTAGCCTTAATTAAAACGATTTTTCCTCTTATTCTATTTTAAAGCCTTTCATTATAGACTTTTTTGAGAGATTGTTCTTTTTAACAAATTGTTTGGAACAGTGATAGGTGATGGTGCTTTGTGCTGAGTTGAATTTTTTTCAATCCCCCACCCTACAAACCTACACTTCTTTCTCCAATAGCAACTATATGAAGTAAGGAGAGAAGAATCTATAGATAATTTCATTTAGGATCTTAATTCTCCTTCAGCTTTAGCCAAGAATCATAGTTTTTTACTGATCAGACTATATGGATCTTAAATTATAATTTTCTAATTAGATCTTAAGTTTTTAATCAGCATGTATTTATTCTTCATATATTAAAACCAAAAAAAAGTAGTTAAAACCCACCAATGCTTGTCCTAGGTCTGAATTAAAATGTCGAAGGCATTTTTAAAACTTCAATTTGTGCCGAAACTTTAAAAAACAGGGCTCCACCACTAATGTCAAACATATGCACCAGCATGCTTTTCAACTATTAAATGCACAATTAAACTCAATGCTCTCAAGTTCTTAAAAAAACCTCACTTAGCAGGCTGAGGTTATAAAAAATTTGTTTAGAGAAATTGTTAAATTTGTTAATCCACCATTTGGTTGAAGGTAGTTACTAATCAACATTAATTTAAAACATTATAAGCATTCAAAAGTACAAAAATCACCTTTTTCTAAACATATTTTCCATCCGCAAAAAAGACCAAATCAGCCCAAAACAAAAATCATCCAAAATCAATCTTCCGCACAAGTTATTCCAAATACCTCAGCTCGCCTCAAAAATCGATCTTACAAACACTCCCTCAAATCAAGTACCCTTTCCTGAGAAGAAAGGACGGAATTTATGAAAACAAATAAAGAAGGTAAACAAGGTGAAGAGAGTCGAAACCCTAGTACCTGAAACTGGAGGTGAGTGTTTGAGGAACCAAGAGTGGAGTCGAACTCCATCAGAAGAACGAAGCCATACGTCCTCATAGTCGAGGTGGAAACGAGAAGGCGTGATGGTATAGGCGCGGGAAAGACCCGGCAACACCGGCACATAAACGAGTCGCTCCTGAAAAGCCACCAACGTGGTCATCCCCCCGCTACCCCGCCGACGCCATATGCCAGCGGCTTGATCCACGAAGTCATTGCTCCGCTCGACCGAGCTTCAGCTCCTCGGCTCCGTGGCGAAATTTCCTCAATCAGCCGGTGAGGGACGTCGCATACCGCATCCAGGGGAGATGGAGCATTTAATGGTTCACTTCTCCACCTTCCTCGGGTCCAAGGGGCCGTGTGGGTGCACGGTGCAGATGTCCCTTGCTGTTACAAAATAGCATTTCTATTTCAAAAATACAATTAAAATCTATTTAGTTGCAGCTTTTTATAGACAATATATATATATTATATATATATATATATATTATGTGTAGAAAAAATATATAGTAAACAATTAAACTAGTTAAACAAAAATGTTATCAAAATACTCATCATAATAAGCATAAGAATTTAGACAATACATTAAACATAAATAAATAAAAGTTAAAAGATAATTTAATTTCGTTTATTAACTAATGTATTTATTTTTGCATTTCTAACAATCATCGATCTAGTATCTTCCTCACCCTGTGTACAAGGCTCACCTAAATCACAATCAACTTGTGATACTGATTGCTCTAAACGATATCCATATGTTTCAGGAGGGACGTGGGATTGATTTTTCTCTTCTTAAATCAAATCACTATGTGAAGGCTGCCGACGAATGTAATTATGGAGAGTTATTGTAGCAGTCATAATATTTGCTTGTTTGTTGAAAAGATTTGTAGGAGTATCTTATAAAATAACATTTTCTTCTTTCAAACGAAACTCCAAATATTCTTTCAATAACAACACGTAAAGAAGAGTGTTGTTTCTTAGACATCTCATTTCTTCCCTGAGCTATACGGTTACGCCATTCAAAATCAGGAATTCAATTTTTTGCATTTGGAGATGGATTGATAAATCTTCTTTCTAATGGATATGCAACACCACCTAGATAATTTTTCCATATTAAAAGTATAACCATTAGTATTGTAAAGAAAAAGTTATTTAATTTATTTATACACAAGCAAACTTGAAGGAGGCTTAGGAAAACTGTATTAATGACTTCATATTGCAAATTTGAATATACAACTATCATGTGTGTTGTCTTCTCATTCATCTATTAAAAATGTGAAACACATGTTTAAATCACATCCAACCATAATATTCTGTGTTAGTGAACTACAACGCCTAATACATGCAATGTTCTTAATGCTAGACACACATGAATGTGTTTTGATAATTATTTCAACACAATCCTTGAGACATTTAAATAAAATATAAGAGTTATTGTGTATAAATAATTTTTGGAAAAAATGAACACATACATCTATCTTAAAGTATGACATATAGTGTTGATCTTGTGAAATTTATGTTAGCATACTTTAAAATATCGGGTGTCAGGTCTGATAACTTTTGAAGTTACACTGACCAGAGCATTCAAACTAACTGAAAAAAAATATATTAGTTGTTTTTTATTAGTGTTGAAATCGCTCCATGACCGCTTTTATAGTATGAGTGTTGAAATCGTTCCATGACCGCCTTTATAGACTTTTTATGTTATAAAATATAGAGCTATAGCTAACATATCTCTTAGAGTCATTCTAGAGGAGTCTTAGAAACCATGATCTTAATGTAGTTCTTTCAACATGTTAAGAAATATAGTTTGTGTCATACGAAACATGTGTTATATCTTGTTGGGTGACCCGCGATGTCATGTAAACAGTGCAATCAATATCTGAGTTGTAGTACTCATACATTAATCATAATATAGTTGTAATAATTGGGCTATGTCTTTCTCTATCATTGTTATTCATTAAATCTAAAAGTAGTAAAAAATAATTTAAAAAATGATTGAATATATAAATATGAAACCGAAGAAATAAATATCATGAATTAAGAGGTAAAATATTAAAAAAACCAAAAAATTGATACATCTTAAAACATACAATTGTATATAACAATGTACACATCATTGGTACAAGATAACATTAATAAACACACACACATATGTAAAAAAACACATATTCATGCTAACACCAATAAACATGTACTTGTACATAAAAATAATAATACATGATAGAACTCTTGCATAAAAAATAATAGCTTCTAAACCTATATCAGTCATACATAAAAAACACATTTAAATACTATAACACTAATACATTATGATTGGCATAAAATAAACAAAAGTAGTTAACCCAATTCTCATGTGTCATTGACATAAAAAATGTATTTCCTAGTTGGATCTCTTAAAAACTTCAAGTTGTTAGAGCCTTTCACTAGGTACCTCTTTAAAATTCCCAGCGAGAGTTCTCAAAGTTCCAATCAAATCTTTAATTTGAGCTAGGATTTCCCAAGCAAAGCACCTAAATCAAATTCAATCTCAAGTTTAAATTGATCAGTACTCTATCTTAAGACATTCCCTCAAATTATGTCGATCACCTCGATCAATACGAATACTTGTGGTATGCTTGTTAGGTGACCAAAGGAAAATACATTGAGATTTTCATACATATTTTACACTGATTTTGATGATATTGCACTTTAAAGAAAGATATTTTTGATGTTTTGTTGCAGGTATGTTGAATTATGGTTATTGGAGCAAAAAGATTCAAAAAGGAGCGATCAAAAAGGAGCGAATTTGAAAAGGAGCGAATTTGGAGCAAAAAGGACCACAATATGAAGATTTGATCTTGGGCGTCGACGGCGAGTTTTTCCCAAGAGTCCAAAATTAAATATCTCTAGAAGGCTGCCAATGGTGCCATCGAGGCCACCGATGGCGAGCACGTCGGTTCTCTAAACAGATGCATTGAATGTGGACGAATTTTTGAAGGAACGCTTGGGCAACTCTTGAAAACTCTTCTACAACTTTAAAAGCAACAATTTGGTGTCCGCTGGTGTGTCCATGGGGTGTCTGCTGGGGTGTCCGCTGGAGTCTTTGTTGTTTGTGGTGCCCATTAGAGTGTAGAGAGTGGTTATTATTGTGAGAAATTCTTTGAGAGATTGTAAGAGTGGAAGGAAAGTGAGAGATTTCTTCCTCCTTGCCGCTTC